GTAGGAGACAGTAAAAGCTGTCACAGAGATCAGCTGAACCACTATGTTGGAATGTGTCAGTCACTTCCCCCCATTCCAGCATCTTTCTTCAGACAGAAGGTTGATTTATGCCAGGTATGCAGGCGACGGGGCAGGAAAGGAAAGTCTTGTCTAGTATAGCACCTAGAGAATATATGACAAGAAGTAGGAAACATCCATTTCAACAGATCTGCTGATATTTCAAGAAATGAAATACAGAAGTGCAAGTTCTCTGAAAGTCTTCTTATTTTTTTATACTTTGAAGTTGGAAACGTGAAACAAAGTTGGGGATATTTTCTTTTTTTTTTTTTTTTTTTTTTTTTCAAGCTAGGTTCTTATTTATTTTAGCCAAAAGTTTGAATTCAGTACACAAGAACTGCCACCAAAAGGTCAATCCACAGGTCCACATGCAGGGCCTCCACATCATCCTACAACAATTAACTTCACAACCTAGACTGATCTGTAATAAGAGTACTTTTTGTTTATTTTCAGGTTACTGACCAATAGCATCATTATAATTCTTGTTTTGTGACAAAACAACTCTGAATTTACTAGTAGCCCTTTCTTTACAAAATCCAGGATTAAGACCTCGACCACACAATTATTTACAGCATGCCCAAATTTCAGATGTAATAACGAATTACAGCTATTTGAATTATTTCAAGGAGTCTGCATTTGCACAATGGTTCAAGCTCATGCAGTGGCTTGGAGTTACTGGACCAAGCCAGTTGTTATCACAGTCTTTATATCCAATTCCACTCCCTACAAAGTATCATACTCCTACATATTTGGATTAAGAAATACAAATATTAGAAATGTAGAATAGTAGAAATAAAGACGACAGTCACTAATCTCTTCAAGAAAGCTTTTCAATGGGCTTTTAAAATAAATTATTCCACCTACCACATAAAACAGCACAAGCTTGACTGTAAGAAGCAGCTGATGATGAATTTTAATTATTTTCTACCTGTGTAATAATTACAGAAAACGATTTACAAGCTCCACAAATTAATCAATCCAAACAGCAGCTTGAAATTTTTACCTGTTCATAGGCAATACTCTTATTTTTATTTAGAAAAACCAGAACAGGTAGGTCCACCTAAGACACTGCCACCCAGTGCAGAGCAGTGATTTGCACTGGGGGTGCAATGTCACCTGCCACCGTCCTGACCTGGAGACACTGCTCCTTTGGTGGTACCATCCTCCCTCCCCAGCACGGCTGGGGCAACCTACCTGGGCTCCCCAGGCAGCCCCCAAAAGCCCATCCACCAGTAACTATGTCATTTTGGTGCCAGGACACTGCCACAACCCCATGGGACAGGGACAGGCCACAGCCACAACACAGCCCACAGCTCTGCTCATGGCCACAGGGGTAGCTCCTAAACTTAAATAAGATTTCCTCCCTGCAGAACACAACTTTTTTCCTCAGAAGTAGATTAGAGAAACCCCAGGATCCTTCAAAATAGTTTATCAGATTCCCCAACACATAGTCAAGTGATAGGAGGGACGAGCCAAACCACAGCTCGACAATGACAGCTGGAAATAGAGCTTATAGTTTAAAAATTTAAATCAGTACCTCTCAAGGTCTATTTAGGTAAGGATGGAAACAGATGTAGAGCCAAACTCCTCACCTGGCACGCACTTCCACTGAAACCAATGATTTATAGGAGTTGTTTCTAACACATATTTTGCCTGACACCCAGTACCAGCCCACCTATGAGGAGGCTGCCCGCCTCACAGAAGAAAACAATAACCAGAAGTGACAATTTTCTTTTGCCACAGCATTTCATTTGCCAGAGTTATACCGGAAAACACTGCTATGATATCACAAGATGATGAGAAAACGGTATTTGAAATTATTCAACAGGTTGTGCCAGGAACTCTTAGTTAAGAGGTCTCAGCGTGAAGATGAAAACCTTCACTCAACTGCACTATGAGTTTGTCTCAGTCATTACTTCAGACAATCTGTTGACATTTTGGGACTTGATCTCTCCACAAAAGTTAGTGGTGTTTCAGGTATGTGAACTTTAAGACGTAAGGCTCAAATTAAACATTGCATAAATATTCTAAATCTGGCAAATCTCTGCACATATCTCATAAGTGGCCTGAGAAGTTGCCATCAGCATGTGTTTTGAAGGTCTTGGTCATGTCTACCGCATGGCACCAGAAGCCACGCAGAATGGACCTTGCAGGCACCAGAAGCAATGGGCAGGATATTTGAGGACAAGGTCAGGAACACTGAAAGGGAGGCACGTGGCATCCAGCAGTTAAGTGGATGCTCCAAAACTGATGCTCACCTCCTAAAGATTTGGGAATGCTTAAGGCGCTCTCCACCTTCTGGAAACAAAGATCGTGATGCTGAGGGAAGATACCTCACAGATACTCAAGACCGTGGATTTCCAGAAACCTGATGATGTTCTTGCACATAAACCACTCTGCACTTCGCAGTTCTGATTTAGCTCTCAGCACCTACCACACGCACTAGAGCTTTCGGGGCTAAAGCTGGAACATGAGGTGGGAAGCAAAGCAAGATCCTAGAAGAAAAAAGAGAGTCTCTTGGAATCAACTCATAAATGATGATTCAGAACAGAAAAATCTGCCAAGTTCTGTTGAACCCAATATGTCTTTATCCTTTGTATTTCCCATTCCTAGTGTCTATAAGAAAAATAACCTCTGCAGCACATCATGGTCTCAAATGTGTCGCGAACTTAACTTACACACAGAAATTGGTATGAGAAAACACTTGCCACATGCTGCACTTGAGAAAAGCCAGCAGGGATTGAGGAAAAACGGTGAAGTGAATCAAAACTTTAAAACTCCAAGAGTTACAAGCTGGTATTGATATCAGAAGATACCGTAATTTTTCTTTAAGATGACATCTTAAGCAAAACAGCATCCATGTAAGAGATGGGAAGCGAGGGGATGTACCTCATTCTTTATCCAACATAGGAAACTCTCCATGGTGTTGCCGCGCAAACAAAACACTCTGAACCACCCTACCTCAGAAATACATCTTGTTAAGTTTTGAAATGCAGATAGCAGCACGATGATAGGACAGTTTTCAGACAAAGAGTGCTAAAATTATATGAATGAAGACAAGCAGGAAAATACCGCTGTCCCTTTTCCATTCAGCTGCCAACTTTGTGCAGAGTAAGAGGAGAAGTGGAATATCCACTCCTTAGCAGGGGAGATGAGGAGAAAGGAAGGTCGCGTGTAAAAATGGGAACCTGGTATCAGATGAAGGATCCTCCTGAAGCCCTTATGCAGTTAGAGGACAAAACTTCAGCAGAAAAACAAACGTCTTGTTCAACTGATTTAAAAATACAAACAACAACAACAACAAAAAAAACCCAAAACCGCACAATATACCTTTTCTATAACTGCAAGCAAGTAAATCTGTTTTACCAGACCTGGCAAGAGTACTATCACAACACTAATACCCAGCAGGGTAGTAATATACATTTTTAAAAGCTCAGTCTCAAAGTAAGTTACATTTTGTTCCTGAAAATTAAGTTATTCATCAAACTTTATTTTGACAAATCTGGATAAATTAAATAATAACATATTCTATTTCACAGCAGCTAGAAACTATCTATATAGTGCCTACCCAAGCTAAAACCACAATCTTGAAAGTAGAGTTAGCATGTATGTGGTTTTTTTATAACATCCAGCACACAACTGCAGGCCTTAAGTAGAAGGCTATTGTTTCCAAAGTAGCAATAAAATCTGAGTTTAGGTCAGAACTGTCATAAAACCAATGTGCTATATTTAAGTAACAGATTTGGGAAGGAAACATAAGCAATACCAAATAACCTGCATATAGCCAAGGAAATTCTTCAGCCTTTTACCTGTAGTGATAAAAACCTATGAACAGACTGTATCCCCCACAACTAACAGGTCAAATTTTAATCAGTTACTTCAGTTGAAGTAACATGATCTTGAATGTTTAGGTGAGGAGTGCTAACCCTGAAACCCTGTTACCAATGCAGCACGAACATACAGGTAAACAAAACCCCCCACTCATTACTAACGTGCTAATTGTTTGTCTCCCTAGTAATTTAAGAAAAGTTTAGTGACAAATCTCAAGATTTTTCCTCTGGTCACTTTTTTAATCTAAATTCTTGCCCTGCTAGGGATAACCAACAGAAATAAGAGTATGTTGGAAAACATGTATTAGAATGTTATTTGCTACCAAAAATAAAGTTATATATTCAGATATTGAAAATATAAAGAATCACTGATAATGATGCAATGATTTACTCCCTTATTTTCTAGTACATAATCCCTCCTATGCTTGCTTTGCTAATAAATACTGTTTATCTGTGACCTAATTATAGACTTCTCTGTGGCTTCTACAATTTTGTTTGTCTGTGATACCATTCTCTCATTTTCTGCTGTATAAATATATTTCACTGTATTCAATGGTCAAGATTTATAAAAGTTATATAGCCTACTTGTATTTGTCAGGCTTTTGTTTTCTTATGACTCTAAAGGGCGCATACTTACTGCCTTAAAAGTATGCATGGTAGAAAAACAGAAAGAAAAAAAAAAAAAAAACAACAACAAAAAAAGACAACAACAAAAAAAAACACATTCAGGACTTTACAAAATATCTTCAAAGTCCGAGTTACTCTGTTTTGTCTACTTAGTTAATTTGCTCATAATTAAGCCTACTCATTACGAGCAACAGATTTTCATCCTTTCTTTTAAATAATTACTTCCTCCACAAATATTTTCTTGCACAAAAATTGTGAATAAAACATTCCTGCAAAAGAAACCATCAAACGGCAAAATATGAATATGGTAATTATTTGTTGCTTACAAGATTTTTACTGTAACACAATTCATCATACACAATTGGGAATGAGAGGGCTTTTTTCATTTAAGTTATCAGTGACGAACACAGTTGCAAAACCCTGAGCACTACAGGATCACCTCTCAATTGTTTTGTTCAGTCTTTAGTGGTCCCTTTGAAACCTTACCTCTCGTGTGCCTTGTCAGTCTCCAGGCAGCCTAAATAGATTTGCACTCCAAGACTTTCCTAGTGTCTGCCCAAGCTCGAACGCAGTTTAGGCTTCATATTTAAGTCTGCCTTACTCCTACCGACCCAGATTCAGGATTTAATTCAATTAACTCCTTTTGCTTACTTCCATGGAGCAAGAAACAGCCGCAGGCGTATTCTGTTGGAATAAGGAAGAAAAGAGTGCCAGTGGGTTAGAGCAAACCAGCAAGTGCTGTGGCGTCTTGGAAAAATATTCTATACTCTGTGGCTATATAATTACAGCCAAAGGGTCCCTCGCTGATATCAATAAAACAGTCTGCACCTCTGCAAACTGCATGAGATGGCCCAGCATCAGTTTTCCCATTGTTCATGTTTATAAGCCTGTCTTCAGATCTGCACTTATTTTCCTGCCTTTGAAGAATACGGGTTAGCCTTACACATATTTAGCAAGACACCCCAGTGCTTGAAGCACACCGTTCCTTCCAGTTCACCCCTGGGGGTTCCTTCAGCTGACCAGTTCATGCAACTGCCTGCACTCTTGGGCAGCAGCCAGCAGCACAAGTGCTGCAGCTAGTGGCATTCAACAGGACATTCCCAGCCCGAGCTGAAAACCTGTGGGGTTTGATGCCAACTGTGAGCATTAAAAATAAAATACTAGGTACTTTGGTGACCTGCACTGAATTAAAGAAGTCAGCATTTAAATGTCAAGTTGCATAATAAGAGACACAAAAAAGCTCTAGAAACAATTCAAGAGGAAAGGGAAATTATGGATTTCTGTGCTTCTTGCTCAGCTGGATCGCTTCCCCACACAGACACTGTTTGTCTGGCCCAAACCCCAGTGAAACATGTTGTGATATCTTCATTTCGTGGCAGATCTATTTTTCATCCAACACAAATCTTCTGAGAAGATACAAAACTGACAGCCTGTGGTTTGCATCATCTCACAGCATTGAAAATTTTTCCTGACTTCTGCAATGATGTGATTTATATAGGATATTCATTCTTATCTATAGAGAATACCTTATAAATTATACACGTTTCCTAACCCACTTTGTCTTCAAAGTCCCTTCAAGGGGAAGGTCATCTCATTCATTTACGTCAGAGAGAGCAAAGTCCCAGTGGGAAAAAGACAAACCTGTGTGTACACACAGTCTTAATCTCATTCATAACCATATATCCACTTAAACTATTTTTTTATTCATTTCTATTTTTATACCCTTTAGGGAATAAGAAGGGACATACTGAAAAATGTATATAAATCCATGTCCTCTCTAATGCCAAAAAAATTACACTATCTCAAGATACATTAAGTAGCTTCTTACTGAGGCATACTAACACATTAGCAAAATCATTACTCTGGAATTACAGTGAACAACACTGGAAAAATCACTGAATCAACACTGAAATTAAGAGCAGGATCTGGAAAAGTCTTCCACAAAGTGATTGCTTAGGCCATTTAAAACTAACTATCAACTCTCAAAGCCCTGGAATGTAACGTTATAGTTTTAGTGTGCAATGTACAAGTCAGAATTTGTCTGGCCAGAAGTGTCAGCTAAGCCCCAGGTCAGTGATGGAAGATCACCTTGGACGTGGTCCGAAGCATTCCAATTGATTTTGGTGGGTGCTGGATAAAGCCCCCACAGGAACGAGCGTGGCAGGGCTTGGGATCAAACAGGAGCTTAACAGAGACAAAGGCAGCAGATGTTTCCTCCTACTCAAGCCATAGCTTCCTCTGAGACCTTGCTGACCCTTCTTCCTCAGTGTTTAGGTCTGACACACTGACCGTTCCTAAACCACCACCAAAGTCATTAAACCTCTTCAAAACTCAATGTTCCTTCCCCAACAGTCAAAAGCACAGACTGTCTCTTACTATTATTCATTACTAACCCTCTCCAACAGCACTGTTATATATTGCAAAATTAAATTTTAAAAAGCTTATTACATCCCACACCAAGTTTAATTGGTTGTAGACCAGAAGCAGTAGAACTGCTTTATCAGCATATTTACCAACATGGTAGAAACAGATATCACAAAGAGAGGCTTAAAACTTCTTTGAATGACAAAGGTGAACACAAATTACAGTTTTAAACTCAAATCTTCACTTTCGATCAGAGACTTGGCAAAAATAGTTGAAAAGATTTTTTTGAAAAGTGTTCTTTCCCTTAGATTGCTCCAACCTGGATATCTCACTTAAAAAGACATTACCTAAACCTTGACCATCTGATGCACCGCATCTGAATATATCATTATTTTGAAAAGCATACAAGGAGCAGCTGTGCCATATGTTTAATGGGCACCTCAAGAAGGACAACTGTGGCATTACCCTGTGGATGAATCACCTAATTAAATGAAAAAAGATGCACCAGGAATTGAAGATCAAGGGACAAAGTTTCCTACACCAGCCACAAATGTAGGAAGAACTTCACTGAAATAAAATTCAAGTCAGAAAGTTATAACTCAGGCAAGGTTGTTTGTAAATATTTACACGCAGTTGAATTAGATTACTTATTTCTCCTCCAAATGAGGTTTATGCTCATTGTGCAGTGAGTTGTTTACTCTTTTACTTAGGCTTTGTATGATAAAGCTTAGATAAAAGCATGTGGTGAATTCTTGCAACGAAGGCAGTTTCATGACATTACTTAGTATTTGACTTCCCACCCCCCCACACCAAAACCCACTGAATTTCCCTGCCAGCTGCATACTACAAGAGTTCAAATCATCTTCTTGCAATATAAGCATTGATTTTCACCGATCAATATGCAAACACCTGTAGCCTAAAAAGGCAGTATTTTGTCAGTTTGCTCAATACCAAGCTAACCCATCGACCAAAGTCAATGCAAGTTTCCTCACAAACTTCCTTGGCCTTTGAAACAAACTCTTCTTCACCATGCGAGACAAGATCCTGTTTCTCTATCCTTGATGTGCATTTGAATTTCCTCTTAAAATTCATGAGGTTATTATTTCTGAAGGGCTACTTTGTTAAGACTATATTACACAGCCACCTGTTGTTATGGCAAGAAAAATAAATCCCACTAGTCTCTTATTAACAGGTTTCATCGTATTATATTCAAATTATAAACTAAGAAGGCTTATGAATATTTCCTTTTGAATTAAAATACCAGTTTCTCATGTGAAATGGAGTTTATGATAATTCAGAGTTTATCTTCACAGTTTGATGTCTTTGTCCTTTCTTAGACAAATAGTCTGCATACTAACACAGCAGAGAGAACTGTCCTCTGACTTACTCAAGAATTTAAGATTTGGGGGGGTTTATTTTTTTTAATAAAAATCACCTCCACCCAGTGTTTTATTGTTGGTCTCCCCTCAAATTTTCATACCAGATGGAGCAAAAATTTTAGAGGTATTTAACCAATAAAAAAAGTAAAATAATTCTTTCGCTCATTTCAAAAGAACTAAAACAATGGAGGGAGAAAAAAAAAATAAAATAAAACAATCCTGGCCTTGGCTCTTGTACACTTTAACTCACAACTTTAACCTGCTTCCAGTTTTGAAGCACCACACACCAAGCAAGTGGGCTTTCCTCTGGGAATCTGCCCACAGTCATTTCGGAGAAGCCATGTGCACTGCCACACAGCACATTTGCACCAAAATTAGACCAAGTCTCATATTTTAAAGTGAGGCCAAGAAGTAAAGGCCTCAGATTACAAACACCCTTCCTGTTTTATCACAGTAGCATCAGAACCTTTTTTGGCTGTTTTAATGGGTGCAACACGACCAAACCAGCTGCCCTTCTCAATGGCTGGGCTTCAGGAAATCATTCTCTTCCCTTCAGTGACTTTGAGTGAGATCTCCATCTCTTTGTGAGGGAGCTTCTTGCTTTATGTACATAGTTACAATATTTTCATTACAAGTTTTCTAAGAATGGCTCAAGGAAACAAGGAAGCGCATTGAGAACTTGAATTTCCCTCATTCTTGCAATTTTCCTGGACCAAAAAGGAGTTACTGCTGAGTTAAATGAAAGTACCAGGCACTCCCTTTGTGCAAGAACAAAACTGCTTTTCTCTTCACACAAGTTTCATGCATCTGCCTCTTAATCTCCAGTAGCTCAGAGACCATAATTCCTCCTTTAATCTCCATAAGGATCATGCTGCTTCTTTGATAAAATAATTCTGTCTTTGTGTTTGACTGTTTCCTACTGCACTACTGTCATAGCTAGACAACTCATGTCATGTCTCCTTTCCATAAAACACTGTCAGTCTATGCAATTTCCAAGCCATCTTTTTCTCCATTTTATGAAAGTACTCTGTAGCCCTGGTAGAAAACACAATACTATCTGTGTCACTCACCTTTCTCTCTCCAGCTAAACTATTTCTCAGTAGCCAAACAACGTTTCCTCTGCAGTGGTTTCAGCCGTGCTACTCCCCCTATACTAAGCCCTCACATTAACCTTATATATCTCAATAATCCTCTCCAGGCGCTCTTAATTATCTACTTAATAGTATTCAGAGTGTTCTAATCACTACCACGCGGTCTACAGGTTACACAACCAAAGGCCAAAGATAAGATAATTGAAGAAAAATACCAGAACTGTTATTTGTTTTGGTTAATCACTCAACTAACATATATAAGTGTTGACTCAGTTTTGCCCATATGAAATAGAACAAAAATAGGAAAGGCCACAATTATTTTTTTTCTCCCTCTCCTGTGCAACATTTGAAATTATACCTGCTTCTTTAGGTTCTCTCAGGCAGCTGACAAGCATTTAAATAACATCTTGCAAGCAAATTGAAAAGCTAGGAGGAACAACATGTGTAGAGATTTGCGTAACTGAAACAATGAGAAGCTCTGCAGGAAAATGAATTTAATTAAAGTTACTCATGCAGACTCTTCGCCTTAGAAATCTATAATTCTGAAAAATCATTTCTCTTTCGATTAAGTTTGTATTTGTCATTTCAGAGATATAAAAACACATCCCCACTGACCAGGTTTTCCAACACTGAGCAATTAGGAGAAATACATAACACAAGACTGCAAAACATTTCACGTATGAAAAATTCAGAAAAGCCAGTGAGGATTGACAGTCCTCACAAGACCCACCACAGCAAAACAGTTCTTTTTAAAGTTAAAAATACAGAAGTATCAACTGGAGGTGTATCAAGACGGTGTCTGGATTATTACTATTACCCTGAGGAGGACTCACGCTTCTTATATAATCATTGGGGGGGGGAAATTATGTTTCTTTCAGACGAATTTTTTAGAACATCTGAATTAGACTCCTGATCTGAACTGCACTCTCATCTCCCTTTCTCTGTCTGGAGCCCTCAGAGACTCACCTCCCAGCCTGGCTGCCTCAGTTCCTGCAGGAGAGGCAGACCCATATATCAAAAGACAAGAATGAGCAAAAACGATGCTGCTGACTGCAGAGTCATTTATTTCTATGATCAAGTTTTGGGCAATCACATTCTGCTACTTTGTGAATATTCATACAAGCAGAAGATCACGACTCTGCAACAGCGGCGCTGAGATTTCTTTACTGCTGCACGCTGGTGGGAAAGGTCATTCTACAGGATATATCCACGTTAACTTTACTGTGCCCAAATGAAGCTTCTACTGATCACGTATGCCACTGCTAATAGTCCCAGAAGTCATTTATTTCTCCCTCTCACCCCACTGACACAGCAACTTGTAAGGAGTTAGGCTGAACTCCTGATTTCCAATTATTGCAGTACAAATATTTCCCCTTCACACCATGCCAGTGACAGGAGAGTGCTCAGGATGTCAGGAACAGCTGCAATTAATAGTCTGTTGTTCTGTGTGTGCTCACCAAAAACTGCACTAATTCCAGTGAGAGGAATCAAGGGCTCATACTCTCTACTGCTAAGATTTTTCAAAGCTGTTTTGTGATAATCATACACAGTAGAAACAGCCATTAACATTCACAGATGTGGTATTCACAGTATTCTGGTGGATCAGCTGTTTTTCCAAAAATGAACTTGAATGAAATCAAAGTTAATGTCAAGGTTCTCAGTTTTTTCCCTAGGCAAAACTCCCACTGAGCTTAGCAAGAACTGAATCAGACTCATGAAGGGTTTAACATCACTGGTTTTAGTTGAAAGCAGGAATCCAATCCTATGATTTATCTGTGCGCACACATACACACACAGAAAACCCACCACAATCTTCTTGGCCTGGCAGTAAGTTATTCATCCAAAAGGAATAAAACATTTTCTCTAAAAAAAAGCTTGAAAGAGTGGAGAGGAATAGATATTTCGTCTCATCCACCTCTCTAACAGTGGTAAGACCAAATAGGAGTGATAAGTGCAAAAGTTTCAGTAAACCACAGAGAAACCCATCTTTCTCTGCAGGAAAGTTTAAACCACACAGCCTTTCAGAAATCTCACTTTACCACAAGTGAGGACCATTTGTTAAACAAACGGGGCAGTAGGTGGAATATTGGGATCCTTCCCTCCTCCTATTCTTTGGTCAGAACAATGACTACAGGAATCTGTAAGGTGATGGTTGTTACAGGGAACTTCATCAGATCTGCACAACTGTGGCACCCTCACCATGCATGAAAATCCTCATTAAATCCTCTTTAAATTACAGTTTTTAAGAGCAGACTGGATCTATAATGAAATTTGGAGCAGTGTGCTAATCCTTGGCTAAGAGGCATGGGGACACACAGAAGGGAGCAGGTAGGAATACTTTTTCCAAGTAATTACCTCTAAGGAAAAAAAGCAGCAACATTTCCCCCCACAGACACACATTAGTGCAAATAAAACAGGACTGTGAAAATAAGTGTAGGTACACAAACTTTTCTTTAAAATGATTTCTGGTTTAGCATCAGGTATGTTTATACTGCAGTACTTTAAAAGTTTAGATTTCATCTGATTTTCAGCTAGTATAATGAAAAAACTTGTGTTGTCTCATTGGAATGCTGTTTACACTTTGCACCTCAAAGATTATATAAATTAGATGAGACATCATTTGTTTATTTGGATCATTGCTTATTTCTCAAGGATGGAAAGCTCTCATACAGCCGCTGTCAGCTCTGCAGAAAGATTCCCCAGCGGGGCAGGGAAGGTGGAAGGGTGGGCAGTATAAACTGCCGTAGGTCCCCACAAGGGCACAACAGAGGCTCACCTTTCACTTACAACCGAGCTCGTCAAACAAGATGAGATAGAGGAGGTCGGTGCTATAGACAGAGGAATCACATACATGTAACATCCAGAATAAATACATTAAGCAGAGTGGACCGTTGATCCCAAACACAGGGACTGCCTGCACAAATCATTCATTGTTCTCTATTAGTGACGTGACATACAGCCCCGAGTCATTATATATGCTTCAAGTTATCTACCTGAAGAGTTATTTGCTTGCCTCAGAAGGCTGCAGTGACGTTGTTACAATAAGAATTAATTCATTCTCATTTGCCATGGCCTGCTCTGAGCAGAACCAGCACAATAGCCCCACTCTCCTAACCTTTGACAAGATAGCTTAACATAAATACTTGAACAACTTAATACACATACATCCTTCTATAAAATGCTTGACCTGACATCCCTGTGATGCTCACAATGCTAATTATAAGAAAATATAGTTCATCAAAGGATATGCTCTCTTGAGAGTTTGTTTATGCACACACAGACTGTGTGTAGACTGTTGGGTATAGTTCATTAGCAACCCAAGATGCCCACGATCGCTCCATGCTCAGCGTGTTACATGTATTTTGACAAACAATTAATCAGAACTCAGTACTGCATCTGGCTTGTATTTACAGCCAAAGAATGAATTGGGTTGAAAAAGCATCTGAAAGGATAATACTTCAACCTGATGACTTTGTAGTTGGGTTTTGTTTTCCTGGAAGGAATCTGCTAACATATCATGTTTGAGAGACCCAACAGACATTGAATTTATGAACCTTTAGGTAAACAAAACATATGGTGCTTGCTATATTCCATCTATCTGGTAATCAGTCATTTAGCAATAAATTCACAATAAAATTTGGCCAGCTTCTCAAGACACAACATCTGAGGAGATCAATTACAGACTTAATTTAGACAAATTTTTCATAACAAATTTTTTCTTCTTGTTACATTATCTTTCTTGTTCCATGAAGTTTCCATTAACTCCTGTGGAAAATGAGACCTGGATTCTTCAAAACATAATATGGATGTAAAATATCTGTCAGTTTAGGGCGTGAAATGATGGATTAATCTGAGACACTGACCAATAATAGCTCCAAGTTGCTGAGTTTGTAATTATATTGCCAACATTGTCTAAGAAAACTATACACAGAAGATGGTTATTTTATTATTCTTTTAACTAAAGCTTCTCAGGAGAGTTCCCTGTTCTGGGGTCTCCATCCTAGAGCAGTACCTGGAATCCCCAGGTGGGAAGCAAACCCTTCCTGGACAGGTGATTCCAGAAGGGAGGTCAGGATCAGTGCAGCTCCCAGGGCTTTGGACACCTCCCTGTCCCGGGAGACACACGAGAGGGACCTGGGTTATCTACATGGGGAGGGCACAGCCACAAAGGAATTTCTCACAGAAGCTTAGACACAATTTTCAACTTAGTCAGATACCATCCTCTAATTTTTAATCACATCCCAAATCTTCAGGAGGGAAGAGAAAGGAAGTGAAAAGAAAAAAAAAAAAAAAAAAAAAAAAAAAAAGAGGAAAACAGGTAAAAGATTTCTGCTTTTTGGTTCTCCTCCAGGGAATGACAAGTATTGAAATGGCACTGGCAGCAAGCATCTAAATCTTAATCCTTCCCATTTTTAGACAAGACTACGAGTTCATTTGTTTTGTTGTGCTGAGACAATGAATATTCAGTTTTTCCATACCGCAAGTAAAAATCTTCAGAAGGCAAAACTGAGAAAAGTTCTCCCTGAATTTTCTGATCAGGTTAACAACTTGGGGGATGCTGAGGACCATCCTCAAGTGCAGGTGAATGCTCTGAGCACTGAGGTTTTGAAGAGCAGCCTTGGTGAAGGCAGTGACACCATCTCTGTCCAGGGATTCTCAGCTGTGCCCTTGACCTACTATAAGAACCTCTCCAAAGACCGAGAGGCAACATTTATAAAACACAAGAATTTTACCAGCATGTTTAATAACATCAGCCCATTCAGGGTCAGGCAGCAACTGGCTACGAGTTTGGATATGAGAGAGGTTATTACAGAAATCTGTGGAGATTCATGTGCCCAGTGGAAGGGTTCAGCAGGACCTTTGCCTTGTGCGGGTCTGTCTTTAAAGCTCCAAAGAATTATATGCCAAATTTTGGACAAATCTGTCGAATGAGCAATTCCACTCACATTTCTTGCATGATTAAGTGCCTTACTGAATCAAGATAGCTAAATTTATTACTGAGACACATTAAATAAGGGTGATGACTTGGCCGCCATGTAGAGTCGACTATTT